AAGTAAACTTAACCAAATTATTTAATCTATAAAAATCAAAATAAAGCATTTACATCCATGATTATAGCAATAGAACAAGCTTATTACTCTAAAAATTCAATTTTGAACCTCTAAAAAGTCAATTTTGCAACCATAAATCTCTCAATAACCAACACTTACATTAGTTTATTAAATGGTAACAAAGTCAGGAGTATAATCGATAACAGACTGAATCAAAGTTACAGAATGAAAATGTTCACCTCAATCAGCTTAGAATTGAATGTGAAAGAGTATCTAAATTGACTTAACCCAATCTGACTACGACCCATCTCAAGTGAATATAATCTTGATTTGCTCATAAGACACATTCAAATTCACTTTCTTCCTATATACAAGGAACATAAAATCAAGAAGTGCCTTACTCTTCTTTCTTTTTAAAATAAACATATATGCATAGCATGTAATAAATCTTTCGATAAATATTTGAAGCGAGAAGGCCTTAATATGTCATCAATTGCTCAAGAAAAGAGAATGAGAGCGAAACAAAAAAGAAAAAGTCTTTTCTACTCAAAAGATTCTTTTATTCGTGATAAATTTGAGGAGAAATGAACAGTAGAGCATTAAAATGTGTAGAAAAAGAGAAGCTACTTATAATGAAATTTTTCTCACTTTTATTGCCATCAACGGAATATAATGGGATGGGAGAGATGCGTAAATCTATGCGACTTGATGAATTGAAAGCATTTTTTCATCTTATTGTTGGCTGCTTTGTGAATTTTAAGATGAATTGAAAAGAAAATAAGTTAATAGACAAGTATCTGCTGTATTGTGTGATTTATATCATCTTTGATTGGTTAAACTGCTGATTAAACTGCAATTGAGTCTTAATGATCCAAATTACTGATTTTAGTTCTTAATTCAAAAAATAAGGATGTTGACCAAGACAACAAGTTCAAAGATAATCTGTATGGGTGGCATCTGTTCAGTTGTACGTCAGAAACCAGTCTTAGGCCAACTACAAAGTTATATTAAAAGAAATCAAAAATCATGAAATTTGAATATAATACAGGGGTACAAGCACATGAAATTTAGGTCATGTTACTTTCCTAATTCTTTCTTTTTATCGTCTTAAATTCCTCTTCTAAAGTCAAGTGCTTTCTAATATACCTAAAAGACATTCCGTACACAGCAAAATGTGACATTCATGAAAGACTATAAAATTCCAATTACCATGCATTAATATTTAAATATGTGTGACCCGAGTAGCACCGTCACGTCGCCTTCTTAGCGATAAATATCAAAGAGACAATACAAAGGTTAATACAAAAGATTCGCCACTGAACGTTACTTTAATGCTTTCAACTTTATCCATCGTTGGTAACATCTTTAACTTTGCTGAGATGCTAATTTGAGAATTTTTCTAAGTTTCAAATATTTTACGCCTTAACAAATTGTTGCGTCTTTTAAACATTGCCTTGTAATTGCTTCTTTATTTTCACACGTCATTATGAATTGTTCTCGATGAATAAGTTTCACAGCATCCAAAGTTATGAGAAGATGTACGCGTGTGGTGACTTTAAAAATGATTATTTATTAGGTACAGCTTTGTCAGTTTGAAAATACAGATTCTAAATTACTGAGTCTAGTGAGATATATAGCAACACAAAATACAGACGAAAGCATACAATGTATCATCATAAGTAGCTATTTAGTTCATAAAAGTGATATATAATTAATTAAATTATGTTTTATTATGTGTAGAGCTATAATATCACATTGTTGACGTTAATAAATCTTAAAGAATCTGTGACGGCTACTCATTTATTTTAATGTACACTGAATTATGAAATGTCATAAGGAGAATAAACGAAAATATGTACTTAATAGACGTACAAGTATTTGTCATCACTTCAAAAAAAAAAATAAATATTATTAAATATATACTTTAGAGAAGAAGTGGAGTGAACTGAATTCTCATAACGTACAACAGATGCTCATACCTATAATCATTTGTCAAGTCGTATTGTATTAAAAATCACTGCTTTTTTGTTCTTTCGAGAGAAATTTGCTCCAGATTAATATTTTCTCGTGCATTCTTCAATTTTATTGTTTTAAAAATGGTTTCTGTTGCTTCTTTTTAACACTTTTTGCAAATTCATCAATTTTTGCTTCAATTTAGCTGTTTTTGACTCAGTTCAGAGCCTCCTGCTTTAATTCAGCTGTTTTTGAGTCAAGCAAACTCTTTGTATTTCTATTCAGCACTTTTTTGCTTCAATTGAGCGCATTTTGCTTCAATTCAGCACATTTTGCTTTAATTCAGCGCATTTTGCTCCAATTCAGCGCATTTTGCTTTAATTCAGCACTTATTCGCTTTAATATAGCTCATTATGCTTCAATTTTCTGAATTTCATAATAATTGCTTGCAACTTAAAGCTTGATTAATTCATTAACATAAAAATTTGCTCTTAATATCATCAAACTACATCCCATTTCAATACATTCGCAATTTTTCTCAATTTCGTTATCACATTCATATGGGTAGAAAAAGTCATTTTTCAGGCCATCACCAAATGAACCGATAAACAGTGAAAAATAGCACGTTAAAAATTTTTGTGCACCACTAAATCCACGCTTGTGGAAAGCAATAAATATGTTTTTAAGGCTTGCGGATATGACTAAAAAGTTTCTGCATTCAACCAATAATATTGTCGCTCCTCAATAATCATTAAGCAGGAAGTATTGGAGCTTTTCATATTTATTTATTTATTCCTCGATTTTGTTTGTATTTTAAATGTTCTAGTAAGCTCATTTTCGGGTATGTTGGCATGGAGAGGAAGCTTTAATAGTTGTGGTTGGCTTTAAATCTGTTGATTGATTGAAATTCATGGAACTAGGTGCTTTACTGCCTGAAAATGCCTTAAAACATTGAAAAAGTGCAACAAAAATCCCACAAAGACAGTTTTAATTAACAAACCTCCTTCCCCGTCGCATCCCCCATTAAATTTTCATCTTATTTGTTTCCGATACAAAATTTAATTGGATATAAACTTTGACGCAACAAAAAAAGAAAAAAACTCTCGAGAACAAAAATTTAATTGCAAAAAGTGAAGCATCAACAGTTGAGTGAGGCGAGGACCAACAAGGAAGCGAGATATAATTTTTAAAGCGAATGGCACAAGAGAAAAAGAAATTTTTTTTATGAGTTCTCATCAACATGATAATGATGATGGGGAGGAAAGAGAAAGAATAAGAAAAAGTTTTATGCGAACTTTTCTTGAATAACATCCTGATTCGAGATAACAAGTGTAGAGTTTATTAACTTAAAAAAAAGTTGTTGCCATCTGACAGAAACAGGCAATGGGCAATAGATATTCAGACAGATTGATATTACAGTCAATAACGGACACAAAAAAGAGATAAAAATCCAATAAACTAAGAGGCTGCAAACTCTGTCATAGCATTTAACAAACATGAAAAGCTATCGTTGAATGAGCTAGCTGTGTATGTGTGCCGCACATGTTATGATGAGACGAACTAAAGTGCATAAAGCTAGGCAAAGTTTGTTTAGATTATAACGAAGGAGAAGCAGTAAAAAAATAATTTTAATTAATCCACATTGTTCTGGATATTGTTGTTGTTTAGAGCTATAAAAGTCATCACCCCCTTAATACACATCGTACAATGTATGGAATATGCCTTTTACGCCCTCAATTTTTATTTTCAATTTTGCTTTTTTTTTCACTTCATTTTTCAAAAGAAAAATAAAGATGATGATAAAATCCAGCAACAACACTATGACGTTATCTCATTTTCTACTCGGGACATGTACAAACAAACAATGAAGATGTGAGGATGTACGAGATGAATATTGACTTCTATGCCGTGCATAACGGTGATGTTTAATGAAGATTTTCTCCTTTGTTCAAAAAGGCATCAATAAATTTTTTTTGTTTTTTTTACGTTTTAGTCGATAAATGAATCAAAAAAGCAGTAAAACTGTCATGGATTAATTATTGGAGCGAGGGCTAATGCGGAAGAGCAATTAACAGAGCAAATATTGCATTTTTAAGAATTTTTTGATGTGACGTTTTAGAAAGTAGAGTAGATTGGGTTAACTAGGTTAGATTATATCTGAAGATTCTCGAGTTTACTTCAAGCTATAAACGAGTTTGGTTTATAACACTAGGTTTTAATCTAGTATGGTCAATAAAACTAAGTTTTGAACTAGTATGGTCAATAAAACTAGATTTTGAACTAGGATAGTTACTAGAACTGAGTTTTAAACTAGTATTGTCACTAGAACTGAGTTTTAAACTAGTATGGTCAATAAAACTAAGTTTTGAACCAGGATGGTCAATAAAACTAGGTTTTAAACGAGTATGGTCAATAAATCTAAGTTTTGAACTAGTATGGTCAATAAAACTGAGTTTTGAACTAGGATAGTTACTAGAACTGAGTTTTAAACTAGTAGTGTCAATAAAACTAAGTTTTGAACTAGTATGCTCAATAAAACTAAGTTTTGAACTAGTATGGTCAATAAAACTAAGTTTTAAACTATTATGATCTATAAAACTAGATTCGAAGAAAGTTGGACATTTGCTTAGTACACCTAGAACTTGCACTTCACTTCAGCAGAAAGAAGCCCACATTGCTCTCTACAACATTATTTTAACAACTTAAATCTCACATTTTCAAGTTCCTTTACGTCAAATTAAACATCCAACCAGCAAATAAAATGAATCAATTGCTCAATAGAAAATTTATGAATAGAAAATCTGGCGCACACGGCATTCAATTTTCATTCTGATGAGCGATCAAAAAAGATGAAAGATTTATAGCACGGAATTGGCATAATGAATGTATCATCAAAAGCAACAGTAGACTGTGATGATGTTGTTGCTACTTTTTGCTAAATGCAGAGCTTAAAATACGGCAATCATTAAAACAAATAAAACGATTTTGTTGACAATTGAGAAAGAGATAGCATGTATGGTGCATATATGAAGTAATAGAACACTCACCTTTCCCTGCATAATCAGTCTGATCGTCAATGTAACTGTTGGATCATCAGGAAATTTAGCATTATTTGAATCCATGATTGTGTGTGTCTTGCTGTTTATCTTCTCGTTCAGATTGTTTACACTTTTCCTTCTTTTTTTTTGCTTTCACAAACTTGCTTTACTTTTTATTATTTAATTTGTTAATTGTAATTTTCTCACTTTTTATTCCTTAAATCAACACTTTTAATCTATTTATTTTTCCGTTTGCACGTAATTTTCTATATATATATATATTTATCTGCTTGTATAAAAAGAAGATCCTTAAATCAAATATTTCCTGTATATCCTATTTCCTTCCTTTATTATTTTCAGATTCGTTCTTTATCCTTCGAAACCGCTATCTTTGCGAGAACGAGGACAGTGAAATAGAACAAAAGGAAGCAGAAGTGAAATGAGACACACTCGTACTTTAATTATAATTTGCTTTAAAACACTTAATGCTTAATTAGCTTTTATAAAATAATTAATCTGCTTAGTTTTTTTCTTTCTTTTCTTGTTTTTGAATCTAATTGGGATAGAAATGACAGAGATATCTACTATTTCCTCCTTATTTTTTCCACTATGTAGGTTTTGTTCATCAAGATTTTATTTATGCTTTGCACACTTTTATATATTTTTTGTTTTATCTTTTTTTTCCTTTTCCTTCTGTTGTCGGTCTATATTGATATAGATAGTTGGTTGTATATCTTGTATGTCCTGATGGTGGTTTGGCGATGATTGCTAAGGGTTTCTGTTGTAATAGGATCTGAAATGAGTAAAGAATAGAATGAAGAATTAGTTTGATGTGTCTTACACAAATCTACACATGATATCATTTTGCTACTTGAACGGAATAAGTATGTGAGAATGGAAGATTGAAATCCGATTACTTCATTTTGCTAACCGTAACTAAATTATATTAAGTGATTTTCAATCCCTGCTAATTTGATACATTTTTTTCTTCTCTTCTCTCTGATCTAATTAGATTTGAAATGAAATTGTCGAGAAGAGAAGCAAATTAGAGGATGTGGAAAAAGAATACACGAAGTTAAATGTCAATGAGAAATAAAGATACAAGAAGTACTTAATGTCATTGTAAATCATAAGTCGATAATAGCGCATTTCCCCTCATTAAACTTAGTAAATTTATAGACTATTTTTCCCTTTTGCACTAGACTCTAAAATCATTTGACACGGATTTGTTTGACATGAAGGTGATGTTGTGTAAATTTAATACATTATGTGACTTGACTGAGATGAATTACGATGAAGATGTTTAGGTGGATTTACGGAAATCTGTTTATTTAATTAGGATCTGATTTATCTTCTTAAGTGTCAAAGTTCTTGGAAAATTGTTTTTTTGAAGCCTTTCATTTGAAGGTTTTTGTTTATTCTACTTTGGATGGTTGGTTTCGGGGAGTTTACTGAACTAATCACTGCTGTAATACGCTGAACAGTACTCAGCAATGCTGAATAGAACTAAGCAATGCTGAAGAAAGCTGAATAGAACTCAGTAATGATGACTATTGCTTAATAGAACTTAGAAATGCTGAATAACGTTAAAAATAACTCAGCAAAGCTGAATAGAACTCAGCAAAACTGAATAAAGCTGAATATAACTCAGAAATGCTGAATAACGCTGAACCGAACTTAGCAATGCTGAATATTGCATAACAGAACTAAGCAATCCTGAATAGAATTCAGCAATGCTGAATCATGCTGAACAGTGCTTAGCAACGCTGAATAACGCTTATTGCTTCGAATTTAAAAAAATTCCTTCCAAAGAGATAATAAATTGTGCAAAAGAGAGCAAAAAGGCCAATAAACATATGTTGGAAGTGCAATTCAGTCGCCAGATGGTTATCATTCCCATTTTTTTATCGCATACTCGGATTACAAATTAATTTATTACGAGTATCTGATGAAAGAATCACTCAAAATAATCAATTTAATTTGCTTTCATACGAAATCACACCCGAACTTAACTGAAAATCAATAAACCTCTGATTCCTTATCAGGAAACTATAAAAAGAAGTCTGACAGCTTACTCGAGTTTGTTTTAAATATTTTCAACACATTGTGTCTCGTTGAGTAACAAATTTCATTTTGATCGAATGAAAAATGATCGAAAATCGACCCAAACTGGAGCGTCTATAAATTCTTCGTATATAAAATCGACCATTCTGTGGAGCTTCCAATAAAACCCATGCCAAAAATTGCAATTTATCAATGTAACGACATCGATTCATCATTTCATTTAAGTGTTGATTCAAACTTATAGAGACTAAAGAGCAGTCAGTCTTGTATATCTTTCCAATTATAGATTAGAAAAAAATGAGCTCAAAAATTTTTGTTTAAAAAAAAATAGAAAATGAATGTGCGAGTAAATAAATATTCATTTCATGAATTGAGTTGTTAACGTTGAAATTTGTGTGTATATTATTTTATGACTTCAACATAATTAACTTAAAAATGTCTCGTATTACAAACAAAATGAAAGTTCAAAATTTTTATTACATCGTATTTCTTATCATCGCCTCTCTATCTCGATGTTATAATAATAGCAATAATAATCAACGTCATTTTTATCCCATTCCACGTAAAATGAAATTGAATGAATGCAAAATAAATTGAAATGATGAAAGTATGTAGAATGTCAAAATGAAAATCGATAGCACATTGTGGATATCAACGTGTGTACACACTAATAGCGATATGTGTACAAAAATGCATTCATTGCTTCTGTAAATTTTTAACGCAAATTGTGAAATAAAAACTACATTTTTTCATTATTAACGGGGTTTTCTCTGTGATGGATTGCTTTTTGAAGGTATTGCTAATTTTGGAATTTTTTGAATTTCAAAACTTTTTTTAAAAAAAAATTGTTGAACTTGAAATTGTTTTTAAAATAACAAATTTTAATTTTTTGAAAGCTGTTAAGTGAATTTTTAGAATTCGTTAAGTTTTTAACTATTGAAAGTCGTTAAATTTTGAACTTTTGAAATTTTTTGAATTTTATATTTTTGAAATATTTTGAATTTTACATTTTTGATATCCGTTGAATTTTGAATTTTTGAAAACCGTTAAGTTTTAAATTTTTGAAATCTTTTGAATTTTAAATTTTTAAAATCCTTTGAATTTTGTGTTTTCAAAAATCGTTGAATTTTGAATGTTTCAAAACTGTTAAATTTTGAATTTTTGAAAACAATATATTCAAATTTTTGAGAACCGTTAAAAATTGAATTTTTAAGAGTTCTTAAAATTTGAAACTTCAGCCGTTGCTAATAGTTTTAATATTAATAACAATTGCACTTTCCACTACTACCACTCCACAAAACCGCACTATAGCTTTTCCATCAAAAAACCGATAACTCTTTTTTTTCACTACTCTATTTATTTTAATTGATTTGTCGTAGCCGATAAGTGACTTTTTCTGTAATTTACATCCATTTACGCAAAAACAAAATGAAAATGCTGTATTTTCAATTCAGAATCAATTACTGCTGAGGTTTAAAATTGTAAATAAATTGAAAGATTGTCATAAAATGATTATTTCCACCTTTAATTATTTATTCACACACAGCTCCTGCTTTTTATATTTCCAATAATTTATTTTGTATCATTTCATTTGTTTAACTTGAACAATTCAGGAACAAAAAATTATTTTTTCATTTTTTAAAAAATTTACTCACATGAATTTGAGATAGGTATTCAGGAATAGAAACAGAAAATTCACATGCACATGAGATCAATTGCACCGAAAAAAAATAGTAATAATAATTTTCATGTAAAAATATCTCATTCAATAATGTCTATGCCATAAAAATGAATTTCCGTAGTCATATAGTCTATATTTGCACATTAATACACATATGATCTATTCACCACGTTAGGATGTGATGGAAAATATAAAAAAAAATGATTTTTTTTTGTATGTAAAAAAAGGGGCGACAAAACTCTCGCCGTGTTAGACTCAATAACTCAATAATATTTTCACGATATGTCGCGATTATGAGTTCTTCAACGTCTGGCAATGTACTAAAAAAACTCTCTCATCAACATCGTCGTCGTCGTCGTTTGGCTATATGATATTGTGTGCCCGGATTTTGCGTTCTGCTTGTGTGACACACGATGAGAGTTAGTTGTATTAAAGGGAATGAAAAGCCAACAGCAAGTAAGTGAGGAAAAAAAAATTATCTTTTTTTTCTTTTCTGTATTAAAAGAATATTTTTTTTTGTTGCTGTGAGAGAAAATCGAGAAGGAGAAGCAGAAAATGTTCACATGTAGAATCTTTATTTTTTTCAATTTTAAATGCAATGTGCGACGAAAAGAAGAAGGTAAGTGACAAGAAAAACTTTTTTTTCTACTACTTTTACCTTCTTCTTTTTATAGCATTTAGGAGCACACACAAAAAATAGAAGTCTTTGCTACTTTTTTTTAAAAAGAATTTTTGTCCATTTAGTTGAAAGCTTAGAGACACACTTTGACTGGCTAGGTGTCTAGCCGAAAGATTCAATGTATCATGGTTGAGGCGATAGGATTAAATAGACATTGAAGATGGTAAATTTTTGAAAACTGTTAAAAGGTTTGAATTTTCAAAAACCGTTAAATATCAAAACCTCCTAATAATATACTTGTGCCATCTTTAAATGCATGAATTAGGCATATAGCTAATGATTTTGACTCAAAAAATGCTCTTTAGCTCCTCAATCAGCAACTCTAACTTTCTTAATACTTTTTTCTCATACTCTACCGAAAAAAAAATAAAACGAGAGAATTTATGGAAAGAAACATATGTAGTTTGCATATCCCCATAAGCAACATCTATCCGTTTATTCATAAAAGACATAAGTATCGTTTATGAGATGAAAAAAAAATGTATGAAAACCCTGATGAAAACAGAGTTGTTTTTCTACTTGTAGGAATTTGAATTTTTTTTACCGCTACAAATTTTCAAAAGATTCAAACTAATTTTCATTGCCTTGATTATTATTACGATTATTTCACAAAATTACGATGTTAACATGAAAAAAACAAATTAAATTCATTATTAACCC